TCGGGGTGAGTGTGTTTTCCATTGACAATAACACAAGGCAGACAGGCTGTGTTTTAACAATAGCGACAAAGTTTTTTTTGTCTCTGAGTTCTGGAGGTGCAAAGTGGCAAGGGAGCTGGTGGTGGCCTTCGTGCTAGCAGCTGCCTGAGAGCAGATCACATGACACGAGGGAGCAGATCACATGACACGAGGTAGCAAAAGTGTATGTGTCTCTTCCAGGCCCTCTCTCCCCTCATGTAGCCGTCAGGATTCAGTCATGGAGCTGTACGAAAGACCATCTCTGATCTCAGCCCCTCCCCAAAAGGCCCTGCTCTAAATGCTACTGCTGGCTGATGTGTTCATCTTCTCAGTACTTCACGGTGAGAATTCAGTCTCACGCCTGAACCCTTCGAGGCTGTGGAGGGTACTATTTCTTGTTGACTCCACACAGTTTAGAATCACCTGGGGAAGGAGTCTCCATGGCGGATTATTTAGATCAAGTTGGTTTGTGGGCGTGTCTGTGGGAGAATGCCTTGGGTACAAAGACTCAACCTAGAAGCGGACAGTACCAATCCCATGGGTTTGTTCCTGGACAGAATAAAAGAGAAAGTAAACTAAGTATAAGGCATGCATCTGTTCTCTCTCTGTTCCTGACTGGGGATGTAACCAGCTACTTTGAGTTCTTGCTGCCTTTACGACCCTACAGTGATGAACTCTAAGCTGGATCTGTAATCCTTATACATTCTCTTTCTCTCAAAGCAGCTTTGCCAGGGTGCTTTATCACGGCAGCTGGACAAACCTAGGACAGGAGGCATCCAGACCGTACCCAACCCATGCCCTGCTCATCCTCCCTCTGCCAGCATTGGGCTTGGAGTGGCCTGAGGTGCCGTGATCAACAGAGTCTTGGCATTGGCGATGTCTGGCATGCAGCTGGCACTCCGTGGTTGCAGAACACAAATGTTTCTATCCTTTGGTCTCTGCCTGGCCTTACCCTTCCTCTGACTCCTCCCCTGCCCTTTCTCTCTCACCTTTGTCTCCCATCTATAGGAGAGACTGGTCCTACAGCTTCTTCAGGCAGCAGAGGTTGGCGGTCGGTCGGGGTCCTACACCTTCCTTCTTCTTTTCAAGGCATCTACTGATAAATTAAAAACAAAGCAAGAACTCTTCCGATGTCCTTGAAAACATCCCAAGACTTGAGAGACCTCATTTGCCCTCAGATAGGAAACCCCGGGTGTATTCCAAGAATGGGGCAGGCCCCAGCGCTATCATCATCAGTGATCAGGAGACATGATCAGAGCATGTCGGCTGATGTCAATGAACCCGTGGGAGAGGGCCTGCGTGGCTTCCAGTACAGCTTTCAGTGTCTGCAGCTCTGGGCCGGGGGCACACACAGGTGGGGTTCGTGGGCTCTCTGTCTCCCTTGCAACCAACTTCTACCTGCTTCAAGGAAAGCAGGGGACTTGGGGCTCCTGTGGCCTTGACTTCTCTGTGAGGAGGCATGCTTTGTTCTTAGGATGTAAGCAGAGCCTCTTGGGGTAAGAAAAGAGTGGTGTGTGTGAGTGGTGGGGGCTCCTTCTGTCCCTCTGTCTGTTTGACTCTCAGACTATTAACACAAGCCACGTGTCTGGCTGCACCCAGGCACACGTGTTCCCCTCCCAGTTCAGCCCGTTGTTTGTTCTTTCTGATTGGCGCCAGCCTCATAGACCCCATGGAGGTAGAATATAGCTTTCTATAAATAAACCCTAACCTGACCTACAATTTAGTCCTTGGGTTTTTTTTTTTTTTCTCCTCGTGGTAATGGGATCATAGCCCAAGATGGTCTCTCCTACATCTCCTGGCCCCAGAAAGCAAGCCCTAGGTGTGTTCAGGTTTGGGCATCACTTGAACTCTCTGGTCTCCCACATCCCTGGCATGTGGTGGCAATACAAGGGCATACTGAAGGATGGTGGATGAGCTCCCCTGCAGCCACAGGAGGCTGGGCACAGCCCACATCACTCAGGGACTTTGTGTGAGTGGCATCTTTGCTCAGAGGATCTGCGACCCCTTCTCCTTCAGACAAACCAGCAGCTCTCTTCTGTGTCCCTTCCGTAACCACTGTCCCCTGGAGTCACCAGAAAGCTAATTGTTCCTGCCTGGCTCTGAATCACAGTAGTCCAGGCTGATTCTTCACCCATGTGCCGATTTGGCCCTGAGTAGCTGAGTGGGTGCCAGCACAAGGGACTGAGCTCAGGTTGGTTGTAGGGAAAACATTCTAATCCTGGATACCCCAGTCTGCTTGGATTCAAGCACAAACCTGCTTCTGGAGTCCCTGTCCTCCCCCTGTGTACCACACCATCTTGGGGGGCTGGGCAAGCTCTCCATTGCCTCCTTGCTCTGGAAAGTTCTACAGGATGTATTCTCTGAAGGGATCTGGAACCACAGGGAGTCTGGCGACATTCAGTGATATCTGTCAAAGATTTGATGGTGATAATTCACTTAGGGGGATTTATTGGGGATGAAAACAAAAAGCCAGGAGGGGCCGAAGGTAGAGCTCAGTGGCAGAGAGTTTGCCTGGCATGTACAAAATCCCAGGTTCAATTCCCAGCGTGCACACACACACATCAAGGATGGAAGCTTACTTTAGGGACAGTGTTCCCCTCACACAAAGATGCATTTGACTTGATTTAAAGTGTTGTAGTTTCAAATCTTTTTTTTTTAAAGCAGGTTGGGGGTAGGAGGGGAGATTAAGACAGGGCCTCATTGAGCCCTGGTTGGCCTTGAACCCCCAATTCTCTTGTTTTCACCCCTCTCTTATCCCCCAGGTGCAGGCTTATTTTATGTACTGCTCCATCAGCCCCATTTCTTCTTATTGAAACCAAAAAGTAGCTGCTGAGTCCCATCATGCAACACTCTCAAGCATCTTCAGGAGATCTGCTGTTGAGAGAAGAGCCAGGCATCACCTCTGCCTTTGAAAATCTTTCACTTTTACTGGGGAGATGTAAAATTCACATTGGGAAAAAAGCTTGACCCAGTTGCCCATGCACTGGTCCTCAGTTATACTTGGCTTTGTGTCTATTCCAGTACCAAGCAGGGCTTGGCCAGACTAGACAGCATCCCATGAAATGAATGCACAAGGGAGGACCTAGAATTAGGACCCAAATAACGGCTTGGGGTGTCACAAAAGAGAGAAGACGCATCAGACTCTGGAACATTTCTGGAAGGTTCAGAGAGCGGGTGAAAAGTTCCAAGTATCCTAAAGAAAGGGGAGGAACTCGGGTGGCGGTAACCAGTGGAGTCAGCAAACTAATAGGCAGGGACCAGCAGGGACATCTGGAGTCAGCGGGAGGACTTGGGAGAGCTGGAGATGAGGATGGAGATGAAGAAAACCCTGGTGGGACAATGGTCTGGGGCAAGGGGACTGACTCAGTGAAGCCAGCAGTCCAGACAGGCTGGAGGGCAGTCTGCAGGAGGCTAGGCTGAGGGTGTCACAATGGCCCAGCAGGGCAATGAGGGCTAAGTTTGGAAAGGAAGGCATGAACAGGACGGTTTCCAAAGCCAGCACATAATTGCCACAAGGGCTACCAGAGAGTCTTCAAAGGTATGTGTCTTCAAGGCGTGAGTCCTGTGACCAAGGGCATGACAGACGACATTGTGCGTGGTTGACAGAAAAACAAGACCACATCCTCTTGGTCATGATTCATTGTCTTTATTAACAATGCCTTTGGTCGCCAAAAGAACACACTTGTGTTCCACAAAGCGGTATTAACACTGTCATCCTCTACGAGAAAACTGTTGGCATAAATAACTTAAATGAGAAAATAAATATGTCGCTGAACTCTTCAGAAACCACGGCTTCCCTTCTTGTGGATGAGAACCACACGGAAAGTTTGCCAAACCCACCAGGCTAGCCCCAGGGGCCTCCCTGCTCCGTGTGCTCTTCCCTTACAAACATTCCCCCCCCCCTTTTAACAGTTAAAATCTACACACAGAAAGTAAGAGGTGTCTGGAAATGATTTACAAAAGGATTTGTGGGTGGCGGCTGTGGCACCCCCCAGCTTCTCTGCATATGTACAGCACTGGCCCCTCCCCCCGTTATTATTCTGTTTAATATGCCATCGCTAAGGAGAGCATAAGACGCTGTTTTTCTAGACAGAAACGTGTCCATGGGCGGCAGGCGGGAGGAGGTGTCCTGGAAGGAGACATCTTTGGTTGGAAGTGGCTGGCAAGCCCAGTTTCCCCCATGGCAAGGCAGTGGGAGAGGGTAGGAAACCCATCTTCGGGGAGCAGGGGTGAGATTTCTGTCCCTTCTACCATCTCTAGAACCCTGTCCTTCTCTACCTCAGCTGAAGGTAAATTTGAGATGAAGGAATAGGGGTAGCCAAACATCTGGGAGGCCAGGTTGGGAATTAACAGCCTCTTCCAGGAGGTTGCCAACCAGAGGTCTCTTCCCCTCCCCCTTTCTCCCTCATTCCCTCTCTATCCCCTCCACTTGCCCATATGGGGGTACCCCAATCCTTGGAATCTCAGAAGAGTCCTTGGAGGGTCTAATCTCCACCCTGATCCATATTTTACAAAGGAGGCAGCTGAGGTACCTAAAGAGAACCACGTAACCCAACCTCACACTCAGTGGCCAAGCCCGGGTCAGAAACCCTTTCTAGTCCCGTGTTCTTGCACACCGGGCTTTACAGCGGAGTGCGGGTGAGTGATCTTTCCGCAGCCAGTCCCAGGTGCTTTCACACTCCGCTCCCTTTACTGTGAAAATATGCTACCTTGTCCTGTAGGGAACCGGAGAGGGTAGAACCCCCCCAATCCCCCCCCCACGGGGGGGCAGACCGGGCAGAGTGACTCAGTGTCAATGATTCAACTCCCTCTCTTGACCTGCGGGAACCCCCTCAGCGGGCAGGAGGGCGAGGGGACTCTTACGGGTTGGGGACTCCGCAGGGCCTGGAAGGTTTAGCGCCCCTAGCCTGGGCTGCAGGCTTTTACAATAAAAAAAAAAAACGAGTTGGATCGCGCCGGGGCTGCGTGGGCGCGGGAGCGCTCTAGTAGGCGTTCTCCAGCTCCGCCTGGTTGGCTTTGGCGCCCCGGGAGCGGGGCCGTGGCTTGCGACCCTTCTGCGGCCGCGCGGTCTCCGGCCCGAAGTCCTTGAGCTCCGACTGGTTGTGGAAGCGGGTGAGGCGCTTGCACTTACAGGAGGCCACCAGACGCACCTTGCGCGCTCGCGGCGCAGCGCTACCGGGACACAGCATCTGCACCCGCTGCGCGCGGTAGCGGTCCGGGATGCAGCGGAAGTCGGGTCCGTTTGGACGCCACCACTTCACGCGGCCGATGGCGTTGGGCAGCAGGCGCGCGGGGCCACATTGGCCTGAGCACACCAGCTCGGTGACAGGCTTGGCGCTGCGACACGGCCCGTCGGTCACGAAGCGGGTGTAGTGCAGTTCGCGGCAACTGTATTCGGACGCGTCTGCGGAGAGAGGGGAGCGTGAGGGCGGCAGCCTAGCCCAGGCTGGGCGGCTAGCGTCATTCATTCCTCCTTGCTTTTTCCAAATCTGCCCCTCTCCAGGCGCTTTCCTACCAATGCAGGGATAGTAGAAAGAAGGCACCAAGTACTTTTGGAGCTTCCTGGGGAAGATCCCTCCCTGGCTGCTCTCTGTCCTTGGAACCCAGTGATCAAACACCAGCGCTCTGTCATTTACTTTCTGTGTGATCTGTGGGCAAGTAACTTAACGTCTCTCGTCCCCACATCTGTAAAATAGGTTGCCCCAGGATCCAATGACCTCAACCACTACATGCACGTAATAGCGGGCACTGTGTGGCAAAGAGTCAGAAGGGGCCGTTTGTTCCTGTTTGGGGACTGGGTCTTATGTAGCCCTGGCTGGCCTCAAATGAGCTGTGTAATTGAAGGTGATCTTGAACTTTTGAGCTCCCGTTTCCACCTCTCCGGTGGTGGTATACAGGAGTGGGTCACTCACTCTGTCCGGCTTAGGAGGTACTAAGGATCCAGCCCAGGGCTTCATGCATACTAACCAAGCACTCTTCTAATTTAACTCCTTATCCCCAGCCCTGTCTAGCAGCCACTAGTCACAGCTGGCTGGCTCCGGTCCCTTCTAGAACTCCTTTACCGGCCACTGGGGCAGGGGCGGGGTCCCGGGAGCTGGAGAAAGGAGTGGAGGTTAATTGAAGGTAGTAAATCACGACAGCTGCTGTGGAGGAGCGGGTGGAAAGGCAGGTGGTGGGGAAGAGAATTCATTAGACTTGAAAGCCACCAAAGGCAGCGTTTCTAACCCCCTCATTATCACAGGTCCAGGCTGAGAAAAGAACTTGCCCCAAAGGCAGGGCTGGGTTGCTTGACGCCCCTGCCTAGGACGCCAGCACCTTCTGGCTCCAGCAAGGGTGAAAGTGATTTGTTAGAGGATTCCAGGTTGGGGATGGGTGGGGATTGAGGGCAGGTAGCTCTTTGCTAGCTACTTCCTTAGCAGAGGGCAGCAGAGTTCTGACCCCCAACCCTACAGTTCCTGCACACCAGGCTCTCTTGTTCTGTGTGCTTTGAACTGGTAGCTCCTGGTGATCCAAACCAGCTCTCCAATGAAGAAAGTTGGGTCTGGTGTCTGGCCTCTCTTTCTCTCTCTCTCTCTCTCTCTCTCTCTCTCTCTCTCTCTCTCTCTCTCTCTCACACACACACACACACACACACACACACACACACACACACACAGAGGCTATGTCTCCCACCATGGGCTTAGGTGGGTGGGAGTTTTTAAGCTAGCTAATTCATATGAGCCCTCCCCGCCCTGCAGTTTCACAGGGTCAGGGCAAATATGACACAAGGATTTTTCTTTTTTAAGTTCCAGGACCAAAACCAGAGAGGAGCAGAGGCCAGGATCAGCCTCCGCCCCAGAGAGAAGGCACAGCAGGGGAGGTGTGCGCCTTGCCATCCTCCTGTGGCTGGCTTTTTGGCTTCTGGGCTGATTTGACTTCCTCACCCCTGCAGAGGTGGGATGTGGAGGTGGTCTGTTTGCCCAGGGAAGGATAAATTTGGGGGCTTTCCAAGAACAGTGCCTTTAGATCAGGCACTTCCTCTGCAAAACGTGACTGCAGGGCATGCTCCTTTGGGGTGGCCCTTTCCCCCACATCCCTTACTGGCTGGGAGACAGCAGAGGCAGAGTGTAGTGGCAGCTTGGGAAATGAACTTCTGCCCCACTCAGATGGGGACCAGCAGGCAGCAAGGTCCTCACTCTGGAGGGTGTCCCTCAAGCTGCCACCTCACCCCAGTTGTTCCTGCCCGCTGCGCACTCGATCCCCCAGGCATTTCTCCATGCAGGACTGCCTTCACAGGCTCTGTCCCCAGGAATGAGGCAAAGCTGGGACCGGGGTGCAAGCAGAGGGCAGCTGGTGCCCCTTGTGCCCATTTGGGGGATGCTACACTCAACTGCCACTCATGTGCTAAAATCGTATTGAAAACTCCGTTCTCTGATGCTAGCCCACTGGTTCTGATGAGGAGAACTGAAGGGGTTCTTTCTGGATCCAGGTTCCCACCTGAACCCAATCTCGGGTTGCACTGCAACTGGATCAAACCAGCTTCCAGTCTCAGCTCTTCTCACTCCCAGGTGACTTTACCTCAGGAGCCTCAGTTTTTCCACCTTCAAGCTAAGGCTTTACCTCCGGGGTGACCATGTGGGATACAGGACAGCCACAGCATCCGGCATCCACCAGGTGCTACCAGCATTACCCTTGTCACCTCCCCGCTGGTCCAGCTAGAGCTGACCCCATGTCCTCATCCTTGAGGAGATTCTTTGAACCAATCATACAAGCCCGTGCCCATGTTTATGCCAGTTTTGACAGATCTCAGTCTCCCCGCCCCACCTTGGACACTCGGCCAGCCCCTCCAAGCCTGTCCTCAGATATAACACTGTGCTAACATTCTTCCAGGCAAGCTGGTCTCTCCCCTGGTGTGTTAGAGACCCCCCAAAAAGAGCAGATCCTAAAACTACCCCAGTTCCCTCCCAGGATCCCCTTGCTACCTTGTCTTCCTCATCCCATACCTTTGGTGTCATAGGGATGGTGGGGAGGTCTCCCTCCATTCTCTGCCCGGTTCATGGTCTGGTTGTTCTCCAGCTCCTGGGGAGGCTCGGGGTAGTCTCTGAGGCCAGGGATGATTTCTGTGGCATCATTCTTGAAGGCCGGCCACCCCTGGCCCTCCACAGCACGGAAGGCAGCATGGACAAGCAGGCAGACAAGACAGAGGGCCAGCGAGAGCTGCATGGTGCCAGGTGGAGGGAGGGCACTCAGTGGCACAGGCTCCAGTCCTCAGCCTAGATACAGTCGCCTTTTTAAAGCCCCCTCTGCCTAGTGCCAGCCAATGAGGATGGGCTGGAACAGGGCTGGTCCCATGTTTCCTCACGCCCCCTCCCCAAGGGGGAAAGGGGTGTGCTCAGAGTGAGCCCTCCCTAAGACTTTTCGAGCTCAGCAAACTTCCAAATTGCTGCTGGCGCTCTCAGGTGACCCGAGGCAGGGACAGAGCCAGCGATCCCAGCGCCTCCCACATTCAGACGGCTGTGGTTTTCAGATATCAAAATGAGCTTGGCTTTTTAATTGTCTGACTCCCTGGGCCCCTCAGGCATTCTCAAAACAAACTGTGGGCCAGCTTAACAAAGGAAACATGGGGCTCTGAGTTCTACAGAAGGCAGGCAGGGTCCAGCTGACCAAATTCCTCTAGCCAAGTTCCTTTGTCACCCCCCCTCCCGCCGCTAATGGTCTTAATTAAAGGTGTTTGTTTGTACCCCACTCCTCACCCAGAAGCAAAGGATGCCTTTTTTCATTTGGGGGGATTTTGGGGAATCTAACCTAGGGTCTCATGCTTGCTGTGCACACTACAGGGATGCTTTAAAGGCAATCCCATTGGCCTCCATAGGGCTCAGCACTGACGATCCTGAGCAGAGAAGTCTCTGGACTTTCTCTTCAAAACCAGGGTTGGGGGGGAAGTAGAGAGTCCACAGCCACTGGTGAGGAGGTGCGATTCTGGGGACAGGGTGAGGGTAAGCAGGTCACCATGGCTCTTGGAGATGCCTCACAATGAAGAAATCTCTTCTACCCTTGACCTGGGGTTCATTACAGAAGATTCTTAGCCAGGGAACTCAATGTGGCTTATAGCCTGGTGGGTCAGAGGCAGTTTCTTCCCCGGTCAGGCCTGGGGCAGGCAACACAGAATCCCATCTCTTGGCAAAAAAGCCAAGGCTAGTGCGTTTATTGGTGATATTCCCCCACCATTTCTCAGCTCATGTATGCGTGCGTGTGATACATGCGTATGAGTATACATGTATGAGCATGCAAAGACCAGAGGAGGTGTGTCCTCCTCTGTCTCTCTCCAAGTTATCTCCTGAGACAGGATCTCTTCCTGAGACATTTAGGTTAGGCTGACTAGCAGGCTAGTGAGCTCCCATGACTCACTTGCCTCTGTCCCGCCACCCGCACAGTCCTGGGGTTTAAGTACAGATAACGAGGTTTCCACATGTGTGGCAGGGGTTCGAACTCAGGTCTTCATGCTTGTACACCATGCACTCTTCCTCACCAAGGCATCTCTCCGGCCTCTCGTTATGTTTTCATGGACAGCTCTGAGTCTCAGAGGAAAAATCCAAGGGACACATATATATAACAGGTGAGTTTCAGAAAGCCACCTCAGGCTTCCTAGTGCTGTGACCCTTTAATATAGTTCCTCATGTTGTGGTGAGCCCCCAGCCATAAAATTATTTTCATTGCTACTTCATAACTGTAATCTTGCTACTGTTCTGGATCATAATGGAACTATCTGATACTTCCCATGGTCTTAAGGGTTGATGACCCCCGTGAAAGGGTCATTCAATAACCCCCATGCGGGCACCACACACAGGTTGAGAACGACTGGTCTAGGCACAAAGAAATCCAAAGGAGCTGCTGGCTCAGCCTGCAGTAGCAAAAGGGCCATGCCAAGGGGAAGACGGGTATGAGCAGGAAGATTCACACCTGAGGTGCAAAAAAAAAAAAACAAAAAAAAAAATGGCCCGGCGGAAACCTTCACTGAGATAGATTGTCGGAGGATGGCCCAGCCCTGGAGGAAGGCTGGGAAGGCGGCTATGGTCCACCTCGCCTTGGTATGCTAACTGCAACGAATTCCCACCTGCACAGCTTCTGCAGGGCTCTGCCACCTGCCTCGACTTGTGAGTGGCCTGTCCATCTGTGGCCAAGCGCCTGTGTCCTCCTTTTCATCTTCCGTCACCCACACATCAATGCAGCTGCTTTGACAGGTTTACAAGGCAGACAGAAGGCCCCTCAGGAAGGGCCCTCTCTGATACCTGCTTCCTAAGTCAGTTTCCTTCGGGGCAGACAAAAACAGCTGTGGCCATTGTTGGGGGGTGATCTATCTCTCCCACCAGAGCTGTGGTGTTGTTAGAAGCTGCCCCCTCCTTTTGTCTGTGACCTCTAGTCCCCTTTCCCCTGCTCTGGAATGTGGACTGTTAACCCTGTCTGGGCCAGAGAGCCTGCCTGTTGTTCCAGATTGGGAGGGGGCAGTTCCTGGGAGGGCATGTGTGTTTCTGTGAGCCTGCAGAATGGTTCTCACAGCACCACCTGCTGGTGGGAGATGACCATGGCCACCTTAATAGAGATGCAACCTGTGCTTGGAACACTTCCGCCACCTGCTGGACATAAAAGGAGAACCCAAGTGGCCAGAGTGACCAAGCTAGGGATTAAAGTGGTGTTAACCGGAGAAAGGGTGTATACAGAGACTCTGAGTTCCTTAATGGCCATCCCTCTGCCAACAGGTAGCCCTGCCATGCTCAGGAAGACTCTGGGAACCTGCTGTGGTGCCTGCCTTCTGTTTACTCATTTGAGGTTAAGTCAGTGATGAGTGTATTTACTCAACACACAAAAAAAGTTTATCAAGGTTAAGTAATAGCCTTGGAGTCAAGCCTCAGGTCTCCACAGATCCCTGTCGACTGTAGTTAAGGGTCTTTCTTCTTCTTTTTGTTTGTTTTTAAAGACGGGATTTCTGTGTAGCCCTGGATGTCTTGGATGTCTCTCTGTAGACCAGGCTGGCCTCAAACTCAGAGATCCTCCTGCCTCTGCCTCCGCAGTACTAGTATTAAAGGGTATTTCTGACCTCTTGTTCTCAGCAAGACTGCTGTAAATGTTCTTGTATGCTGTCGTGGGTTTGCTGTCTAGTCTGTTTGGGGTTTTGTTTGTTCGTTTTGTTTTTGAGATGGCCTTGCTGTATAGCCCAGGCTACCTTCAAGTTCATGGTGCCGTTTCAGCTTCCCAAGGGCTGTAGGTAAAGGTGCGCACTGCCACACCTGAATAGTTTTTTTTAATTACTCTTGGGAATTTTAAGATCATTATAAGTTGACAAGTACTTGAACTACTTCAGAGAGATTTTATGTCTTCTCTACCAAGTTTCCCTCCATAGCAACAGCTCACCAAAGGTGTCAGTACAGCGTCACGGCCAGGACACACAGTGCACCGTCTTCCAGCCTCCCTGATTTGCCATGGCTCACTCACACATGTACCCACTGCGGCACACGCTCATGTGTTAGCTTTTTAAACGAGTTTGGACTATTTTATGTATGATTGATCTATCTGCACGTGTGCCTGCAGGTCAGAAGTGGGCATCAGATCTCATTACAGATGGTTGTGAGCCACCATGTGGTCGCTGAGAATTGAACTCAGGACCTTTGGAAGAGCAGCCAGTGCTCTTAACCTCTGAGCCATCTCTCCAGCCCCTCCCCACCCATGTTCTTCCTTCTATGCAATTTTATCACAAGATCTGCCTATTCACCATCACAATTAAGATGAAGAACAGCTCTGTGGCCCCAAGGACCTGCCCTGATGTCCTTTATTATTTATTTATTTATTTATTTATTCACTTTTTGAAAGAGTGTCTCGATACCATAGGCTAGCTTAGGCTAACCTTAATCTCCAGATCCACCTCCCAGGCGTCGAGGTTGCAGGTACATGCCACCTCTGCCAGCTCTGTCTCTTCTACAAAGATGTCCACTTGCCTCCTTCACCCTCCTTCTTCCAGACCCTACTCACAGCAACCACCAACCTAACCGCGTTTCCCATCGTTTTTCAATTAAAAAAACGCTATGCAGATGCAACCAATGCGGGGCGCTGCCTTTTCTCACTCAACATAATTCCCTGGAGTTACCCCGTATATGGGCACAGTGACAGGCACGTATCTTTCATTAGTGTCCTACAGAGAATTTTCATTGCCCAGGTTCCCTGTGTTGCCCCTACTCATCCTTTCCTCCCAGCCCAACTCCTAGCACACTGAGTTCTGTCTCTGTAGGTCTCATGGTCCCCAGAACACCCTGAGCTGGACTCACACAGTATGCCAGCCTACCAGGTGGGTACCTCCAACGGCTAAATTGTAGGTGTTTAAAAAGTATTTTATTTTTATTTTTATTTGTACATCTGTTTGTGTGTATGCGTTCGGGGCCTGTGGAGGCCAGAGGTGCCAGATCTTCTGGACCTGTAAGTGGTTAGTGAGTCACCCAACATGGGTGCTGGGGACCAAACTCAGGCCCTATACAAGAGAAGAATGAACTCTTAACTGGAGCCGTCTCTCCAAGTCCCCTAAGTGTTTTGTTGTTGTTGTTTTGGGGTTTTTTGTTTGTTTGTTTTTTGTTTTTTGAGACAGGGTTTCTCTGTAGCTTTGGAGCCTATCCTGGAACTAGCTCTTGTAGACCAGGCTGGCCTCAAACTCACAGAGATCTGCCTGCCTCTGCCTCCCGAGTGCTGGGATTAAAGGCGTGCCCCACCACTGCCTGGCATAAGTGGTTATTTTTTTAAATTTAGAAAAAAGGCTGTACCAGTATGGTGGCATGTGTCTTAATCCTCATCTGGAGGCAGGGGACAGCGAATCAGTAGTTCAAGGCCAGTCTTGGCTACAGATGGAGTTTGAAGCCAGGTTGGGCTACCTCAAAAACAACAGCACCAACCACAGAAGTCAGAAAAAAGCAAACATAAATAACTCAAACCTATAAAAGGAAACATACACCAAACAGACTTCTTTGTAAGGTTAAGACATTTATTTTGGTTACAATTTTATAGAGTGTTAACACTGGTGATACAGTAGACATTAAACTTTCCCTTTTCCCCCTTCCCCCCATGGCAGGAATTGAATCCAGGGCTTTGCCCTCCACCATCCCCTTTCCCCTGAACCTTTTCTGTCTAGAAAATCACTCTTTTATGAGTTACCCTAACAGGGGGAGGAGGCAAGAGCCCCATAA